CAAAATATAGAATTGATTGAAACTACTGGGTTAACGCATGTTTTTTCCAACATGGTTCAACCTGCTAACAATAAGCATTTGGCTCCCTTCCCACTGCCAAAAAGAGCTGGGTCCAACCCCTGCTGGCAAGCTGTGTGCCACTGCTATGTGCCTAGTGACACCGCACGCAGGGTTAGCTTTGATGCTGTCACCAGTGTGACAGAATAGAATAGAATTCAACTTTATTGTCATTCCACTGTCAAAAGTCCAGAGCAAGGAAATTCTCCGCATTTAACCCATCCCCTTGGGGAGCAGTGGGCTGCCATTGTGCAGAGCCTAGGGAGCAGTGTGGGGTTAAGGGTCTTGCTCAGGGACCCAGAGTGGCAGTCTGTGGGAGTGGGGGATTAAACTCACAACCTCAGGATTCAAAGCCCTATGCCCTAACCACTAGGGCGCCACTTCCAGAAATAAGAAAGCTAAAAAATAAAGGAGAGCAACATGTACGGAAGCCATTGTGTAGTAAGTGTGCTTTATTGTTTCGCACTTCTATCGGTCTGAATCCCTCTTACCATGTTTATCGAATGTAAACAGAGTTGTTTCGGCTTGTTAGATCGAAAGCAGCTGGCAGTGTGTGTTGACGTCCGTACGTTGCTGTCAATGGTGTCATGTAAATTAGCAGGTGAACCCGTGTCTGGTGTTCCCACAGCATGCAGATCAGAGTCAAGGCGATTTTAACGGGGGTGCCTTGCTGATTCGTTTGACCTATTTAGACACGCTTCAATGAAGCGGTTCCCACTGCCAGTAAAAGCTGATTGTTCCTGGGTTTAAACAGGTTTTTTGACCAGTGGGAAATAGGTCTAAATGAATAAGTCAATGGACCCAGACTTGGATTCAGGAAAGAAGACCAACAACGGCACACCTAGCCTCCCAACTAGACCATCCAGTTAAAAGACCTGAGCTAATGAAAGCCTTCTGGAAATTTGGAGATGCCTCTCCTTTCTAAAACGGAGAGCAAGACAGATTACAAGTCTGACAAAGCTAAGAGTTTCATGATTTCTGATCATTTCAGTGGTTTTACTGTTGAGTGAAACAAAACACAGAGGCTAGTTTTAACCTCATCGTAGCTCACCTAAAAATAACATGTTTTAAGCTTGTTCATAAACAAAACAAACTTAATTTCAAAAGGGGTTTATACAGTGTTTCTCATATGCTTGTTGCATTTGATTACTAAGATGTGACCAAAGGGTTCTTTAAACGAGTGCTCTTTTGTCTGTTAGCTACGTGCTCCATTGCCTTAACCTTTCAAAACACGTTTTAAAGCGTTTACTAATAATAACTCAGAATACATGAAAATTACACTGGTAAAATGTTTACCAATATGTTGATGTTAGAAGATGTTATGAAGATATTATACAAGGTTGGAAAGCTTAGATTCTCCACAATTCAACCACCTAGTTCATTCTATCGACATAGCGAGCACCAAATCACAATTAACACAGATATAGCAGCATGTAAATTTACAAAGACAAAGCAGCCACAACAAACAAGCATGTCTTTATAACCGCTGTTCAAAAAAGACCTATTATTTTTTAGAATTTAAAAAACAACTTTGTGTCTTGTTTGAACTGATGCAGCTTGGGGTTGATGCAGTTTGGGTGTTTTACTCACCCAATTTTCATGTATGTTTTCAGAAACAAGAAGGTATTAGCCTTCAAATAATGTATCACACATGTAATTTGGGCTTACAGTTTCTAAATTATTTGCTTTTCCATTTGGGTATGCAAATATGTGAGAATTTCCCAAAATGAGGTGGATATTAAATGAGGTGGTTAAATCTAAATCAACCTAGCTACAAAACTTTAAAGGTCCCCAATGTTATTCTCCCAGGCACAATCCATTTTCCGAATCATTTCATACAATATTATTTTATGAAATTTTTTACCTCTTGGAGTTGAATTTAGAATTGGTTTGAACACATTCCAGTTGCTTTAAATAAGTTAAAAGCTAATTTGACCTCATTCCAAACTCCTCAATACACTTTTGTTCTCAAACATTAAATCCATACCAAGCTATGACATCATTGCATCATTTTATAATCATGTCTTTCAACCATTTTACATAGTGGATTAGATTAGATGTATTTCACTTGAATTTCACAATGAAATATATTTGACTTGGTATTAAAATATTTTGGTTAATAAATTATAATGTTTTGAATATAGGTTGTGGAGAGGGTGTGTAGGGTGTGTTTTCACACAAATTAATTGATTGAAAGTTATTTTATTAGATAACATAAATGTACAACAGCATTTAAATGCATAAAAATATCTTGAGGTTCTGGTCACAAGTGATGGCAAAATGGAGAGGGAGATGGATTGATTGATTGATTGATTGATTGATTGATTGATTGATTGATTGATTGATTGATTGATTGATTGATTGATTGATTGATTGATTGATAATCAGCTCAAATAGTCAAAGGAGAAAAAGGAAGAAAAAGTTGCATGGGATATATAGAGTATATACAGTGTGTCCACATATGACAGCTTGTACTTTTAGGAGTAGGTTTACTGTGCAAATAATTTTTACTTTTACTTGAGTAATATTCTTGTAAATTATTGCTACTCCTACCTGAGTAAATTCTCTGACTACTTTGTCCTCTGCTCTGAGAATAATGTGAACCATTCCAAAATCAGCTAAACATACAGTAAAGAGCAAATATTAACATTGGAAGTTTGATACCTTTTCCTAATATATATACAGTTCTCATTGTACTGATTGAGAACTTGCACATAAAGCCTGTATGGCAGAATCTTTTCTTAAATCTTTAAATCTGATGTT